CCTTCTGGTTAGCAGTCAAGTGCCTGAGGCACTACACTACCAGAGCTCCCTCATTAGCCATTAGAGAGATGCAAATCAAAACAACCTTGAGATACCATCTCATGCCAGCATTAATTGCAAAGTTGAACAAGACAGAAAATAACTAATGCTGGCAAGCATGTGGAGAGACAGGGACTCTTATACACTGCAGGTGAGACTGTAAAATGATACGACTGTGGAAATCAGTATGGCAATTCCTCAAGAAGTTGGAAACAGAAATACTATTTGATCCAGCAATCCCATTATTAGGTATATATCTTAAAGAAGTGAGAGGCAGGACACAAACAGATATATGCACACCCATGTTCATCACAGCACTGTTCACAACCTAAGTACTCATCAACCAAGAAATGAATAAACAAACTGTGGAAACTATGTGTGATAGTTAAGTTTTTGTGTCAACCTGGCTGGGCCTGGTTGAGTGGCTGGGCAGCTGGATGTAGTCATTCCCCATGATGAAACTGGGAATTAATTCCATGGTGGAATCTACTGGAGCAGCTGAGTAGCTGCTTTAGGGATATGGGCTGCTTCTAGTATATAAGAATCAGCTTTGAGGAAGGTCTCCAGCTTATGGCATGCATGAACCCAGCATGTAGCTGAGTCACTGTGCAGCAGCCCGCCATGACCTGCCAATCTTGGGACTTTCAATGGACTTGAATCAATGGCCTGTCATGTGGTTTATTAATATTGGGACTGTGTCTTTTCACTTGTCAACCTTGGGTTTGTCAGCCTCAGCAGCCAGCAGCTGCCTTAGTGAAGAGGTGCCTCTAGCTTCAGTGGGACAGGAGTAAGAGGCAGAGCTGAAGCCCAAGGTCAAGGGGCTTTCACCCGGCCCCTATAGCATGGCACTTTGAACTTCTAGCCTCCAAAATTGTAAGAATAAACTCCTGTTTGTTTGAGCCATTTCCATTTGTGGTATATTCTGTTAGAGTGGCACCAGGAACTATGGAACCCTAAAGAATAATGTAGAACCTGCAAAACACCACATAATGTGGATGAACTTGGAGGATATTATGCTGAGTGAAATAAGTCAATGACAGAAGGACAAACATTGTATTAGTCCACTATTGTAAAAAGTCAAGAAAAGGTTTATACATGGAAGAAAACTTTCTCTGCTGGTTACCAGAGATAGGTGAGAAGGGGAGGGAAATTTTCTATATAGAAAACAAAAAGAAAAAAAAAAAGATATAGAGAGAGAGAAAGAGAGAGAAACCAAAGAGTATTGATGGTTACCAGGGTAGGAGGGAAGAGGAAGCTTTTGTTTGGGGGGAACTGAGTTTATGATAATGGTGGTAGAATATTTTGTAAAAGGATACTGATAAGAGTAGCACAACATGAAAAAATGTAATCAATGTCCCTGAGTTGTAAATGTGGAAGTTGTTATGTTGGTGAATGTCTTTTTGTGTATGTTTTCACCACAATAAAAGTTAAAAATAAAAGATATCTGTGCGAAAACTGAAAATATTTTCCTAAATATTTTTAAATTTTCATTTTCAAAATAAATAAAGGCAATACAATTTTATCATTTAATTGAGAAATAGATTCAGAACATTTTAACTAGAAACTTATTTACTTTCAAAGTGAAAGACAATCCTTACTACACACACACAAACACATGTTGTATATGTGTTTGTGTGTTCATGCTTCCATGTCTAAACAAGTTCGCAAGTAGTGCTTTTCCATTAGTTGTAAATTGACTTGACATTGGTACTTAAAGAAAATGCTTGAAATGTTTAAAGGCTGAGTAGCCCAGTTTTGCAAAGCTTTTTGTAGAAGTAACATACCTGTGCCCTCCTCTGTACCTCCAAGAGGAGTTCAGAATATTGCAGCTCCAGTGCCTTCTTTTGTTTATGCCAGCAGCTCTCTTGGGCTTTCATCTGCTCTGCCACTTTGTTGAAGGTGTCTTCCTGGGTCTGCTGAAGTTCTCTCATTGTATCAGACTTGTTTTTACAGATATACTCTAGATGGCTTATCTGTAGGAAGTAATGCAAGAGAGAATGAGATGTGCTCACAAACCATTTCTCTGCATCACCTCCCAAAAAAAGAGACCAGGGTTTTTCTACCATATTTTATTCCTCAAGATTATATGAAAATTTTAAGTTATGATGTAAATTTAAAAAATTAAAGGACAGAGATTAGCAGGGTAGATATCATAGTTTAGCAAAGAATTACACCATTTGCATACTTTGACAATAAATTTTTTATTCTTCTTTTTCTAATAAAAATATTAATTTTACAATCAATTTTGCTGATAAAATTTAAAAGAATATTCTTATTCCTGGAAAGAAAGCTCAAGCTATTCAGTTACCTTAATGGAAAAAAGAGTTATGTAAGAATTACAAATATGCAAACATTTTACATATAACAAAACAGAATGCTCAACACACTTTTTATTTTACATTCAAAACACTGGAAGGATTATCCTCATCTTCTAATATATGTAACAATTAATGATGTTTTGAAACAACAAAAATCTATTAAAAATGTAATACCATCTCAGAGGACTAAACACACACACACACACATTTTAATTACCTGTAATTTTCAAACATTACACATATATACATTACACACACAAACATTATACCCATTACACACATATTCACAATCATGAACAGGATCTATACTTCTCACAATTTATGTCTTCATTTCCTCAATCCTACTTCTCAGTGCCTGTGGTGTGTTTACCAATAGGACAAAAGTAAAATGCTCAGTAATAAGAAATCTCATCCTGAAATTGGACCAAGATGCTGTTTCATTACTTCAACAGATGAAAACCACATAGAGAACAGTTTCTCATTTTGTCCCTTATGAGCAAATGCCAATGCAACGAAGACCTGGAAACTAAACCATAAGCATAGTTCTGGACCAGTTCAATAGGTCCAGGGTAAGAATCAGTATCTTTAATGGTGGTATCTGTTTGTCAGCTATGCCAGTTTAATTTTATATAACCAAAAGAAGACTTTTTCTTTTTCTCTTTTTTTTTTGGGGGGGGGGAGTGAATTCCTAGGCTTGTGAAATGGTAGATTTATTATATTCTAAAGAATGGAATGAGTTTTGTAATCTACAGTTTGTTACATTTCAAGAAATAAGTCATAAATATAATTTAAAATTTTTAAGTACTTTTTAAAATAACACCTCATATTTCCCTAAGAATTTTAATATCCTGTTTCTGAATAACTATATCTTGTTTCTATTTTATGCTAAGATAAAGGGTTGGTTTATTCATGTAAATGACTAAGTTCTTTGAATTGCTTCATCAGTAAGATTAATTTATTTTCTTTTAATTAGGTCCCTGTGGCTAATACTGGCTAGTAGTATTAGCATGTCCTGCACAGAAAGTGGAGCTTAGAGACTTCATACAGACTTCAGTCACATTTACATGCCCACAGCAATGGCATCAAACTGAGTTGTAGACAAGCCATAATTAATGGTATTGAATTATTAACAGCCAAATTCTTTTTGAAATAAGATGAATGTCAGCCCCTCTTAATGATACTGTGATGTGGACAAATGTCACTGAATTTAATAGAGGTATCTGGTGCCTGAGGACAGTTACCTTCTCATTAGCCCTGTTGAGGTCTGCGATCAGGGCATCAACATTCTCCTGCAAGACTGCACAAAGCTCAGACCAGGAGAATTTATCCAGCATGCCTTCTGGTTGTTTTATGAGCACACAGCCTGCTACCAAGTGCTGATACAAGGTATGAAGAAAGGTTAGCTTCTCCTGTGAGAAAAAGAAGTCATTAATTTCAGTATATAAACATTGTGAGAAGTACAACATGTAATACACATACTAAAGAATTTATGGCAAAGTCTAGAAAGGAATAATAATACTCAAATCTCAGAATATTTTCATTTTAATAAACTTTTTTACATTCAAAACTAAGTATCAGATAGACTGCAAGTGTCTTAGTTGTCTAGTTCTGCCATCAGAGAAATACCACAAGTGGATGGCTTTAACAAACAGAAATTTATTCTCTCACAGTTTAGGATGATTGAAGTCTGAATTCAGGGCACTAACTCCAGGGGAAGGCTTTCTGTCTCTGTTAGCTCATAGTTGAGAAAGAAGGTCCTTGTCTCCTATGAACATCTGTTGGCTTGGCATCCCTTGGAGATTTCCATGTCTTGACATCAATCTTCCCTTGGGTCTAGGAGTTTCTCGTTGCAGGGAGCCCAGGTCCAAAGGAAGCACTCCACTCCAGGCTGCTCTTTCTTAGTGGTCTTGAGGACCTTCCTTCTCTGCTCCTTCTTCTCTCCTTTTGTGTCTTATAAGATACAAGGTGATGCAGGCCACACCTCAGGGAAACTCCCTTTACATTGGATCAGGGCTATAACCTGGGTAAGGGTGGTGACTTAAGTAAGGGTGATCCATCCTATCCAAATTCTGCCTTATTAACATACCAAACATAACCTAATCCTCTTTAACATAACCTCATCCTGCCTTACTAACAACAGGCAGAAGTTAGGATTTACAACACATCACAAAATAGAGGATAATCAAACAATTCTGGAATCACAACCTACCCAAGTTCACACATATTTTAGGGAGACACATTCAATCCATGACCACAGGTAATCCCTGACTTACAATATATTTGAGTTACAATGAACCACACTTACAATCATCTAGTTTTCTTTGGTACAGCTTATCATTAGTAGGGAGCTCGGGACTGCTAACCAGAAGGCTGGCAATTCAAACCCACCAGCCACTCCTCAGAAGGAAGACTGGGCAATCTAGTTCCATAGAGATACCACCTTGGAAACCCAAGGAGGGGTTGCTATGAGTGGATCTGACTCAACAGCAGTGAGTTTGTGTTTGTTTGTTTGTTTTATCATTAGTAACATGTACTATGTACAATGTTGCAGTGCATAATTTGCTGATGCTATCATTCTCAGAGGTTCACTCATAGATTTTCAAAGATAAGATTTATAAAGATATTAATAATAATGAAAACTAAAAAAAAAAAGAGGTGTTCAACTTACATCAGAACTGACTTACAATGGAGTGGTTGGAACGGAACCTCTTCTTAAGTTGGGGACTACCTGTACTTAAAATATATTCAAAACCAAAATCTGAAGACTACGAGGCAGAGTACTAGGGTTTTGACCTCAGACCCACCCCTGTTCAGACCTCATCTTCTTTAGATCTAACATAAGATATCTGGACTAGTCATTTCTAACCCCTTCTAACTATAAGTCAATATGGTGAGTCTATCATTTCATACTTACAAATGATTATTTAGGTTAAAAAAAAAAAAAACAGAGAAAAGAGTTATTCAACTCTGTCAAAGAAAAAGTTGTACCAATCTCTGTACTTCACTTGTACACAATTACTCAGCTTTCATTCTCCTCCAGAGATTTCCAGTCTGCTCACCACTTATAGGAAATCTATCCCTAGCCCCTTAGGCAAAGAAGACAGTAATATGAAAGATATAGAAGATGAGCTCATTTGTTTTCTCCACTTATAAGTTCATATAGTATTTGGCACACTGAGCATTTATAGGTGTTTAAACATTACAAAGTAACAAGCTAGACAGATAATAGATGATAGGTAGATAGATGGAGGGAAGAAGGGAGGGAGAGAGGGAAGCATGGATGGACACAGCTGCCCAAGACATACTTTCAAAACTAACAATTAGAAAAATATTTTTAAATTTTTTTAAATTATACTACCATTGCAGTAACTATGTCATTCATTGTTGAATGAATTAAATGACCTATAAATACTTACTATATTGCAGAATTCAGTATGAAGCTGACCTGTCTTGAACATATAAGAAGGATTTATTTACTAAAGTGCCAAATGGCTTTCTTTGTAAGGAACTTTACCTGTAATAAATCCCCAAAGTATGGAACCCAAAGACAAGGTAATTATAAAACTGCAAAGTGAATATTTTGGGTATTAAAGTAAGTTTCCTCAAAATATTTTTTTTTTAAATCATTAGGAAAGATTGATTCATCAATCCCATTACTAGGTACATATTCTAAAGAAGTGAAAGCAAGGACAAGAACAGATATCTGCACACCCATGTTCATCACAGCACTATTTACAATAGCAAAAAGATGGCAACAACCTAGGTGCCCATCAACAGAAGAATGGATAACCAAACTATGGTACACACACAAAATGGAATACTATGCAACACTAAAGAATAATGTGTAATCTCCAAAACACCACAGAACGTGGATGAACTTGGAGGAAATTATGCAGAGTGAAATAAGTCAATCACAGAAGGACAAATATTGTATTAGATCATTATTGTAAAGAGTCAAGGGAAGGTTTATATATGTTGTTGCTGTTGTTGTTGTTGTTATGTGCCGTCGAGTTGGACCTGACTCATAGTGACCCCTCCTTGGGTTTCTGAGGCAGTATCACTACAGAAGTAGATTGCCCAATCTTCCTTTCGAAGAGTGGCTGGTGGGTCTGAACCGCCAGCCTTCTGGTTAGCAGTCAAGTGCCTTGGGCACTATGCTACCAGAGCTCCCAGTTTATATATAGAAGGAAACTTTCTTTCTTGGTCACCAGGAGTGGGAGGGGAGGAAAGAAAACTTTTGAAAGGAGAAATTTTAAGAGGAAAAAAATACAAATTCTAATCTAGATAAAAGAAACTGAGTAATGCACATGTAAAAGTCTTATAAGTAGAAATTCTGGGAAGCATTTTCCAATATATATATATCAAAATGTAATATCTTCCATTCGACCTATATGCCACCTTACTTTTTTCCAAATGCAATAATATGAAAAGCAAGGAATATGGACATTCAGTTACAACCACAAACCTGAGCTAAAAATCAGAAGACTTCATAACTACACTGTACTACAGTTGAATTTTTCAACTGCTTTAAGAGTTCTGGTGGTGTAGTGCCTAAGGCACTTGACTGCTAACCAGAAGGCTGGCAGTTCAAACCCACCAGCCACTCCTCGGAAGGAAGATTGGGCAATCTACTTCTGTAGTGATACTGCCTCAGAAACCCAAGGAGGGGTCACTATGAGTCAGATCTGACTCGACGACAATGAGTTTGGTTTTTGGTTTTTGGTTTAGATGTTTAAAATCTTCATAACTCCAACTAACCAAATGTAATATTCAGGAACTCCTCCTCCCTCCCATATTTCACCAAGTGATCGAGTTTACCCTCAAGGATGACTCTTTGAGTCACTATTATGTCCTTTTTGCTTGGGCTGTGATAAACCAAGCATGATAATTATCCATTTGGCATGAAAAAATAATCCCAAGACCCAAAATCAATTCACACATGTTGAACCCAACCACAATGTTGTAGACATGCTGACTTTACAATACAGTCGGGCTTCTAGTTTCCTTTATTTTAATCATTATCTGATGTGTAAAACAATTTCAATCCCTTCATGTGGACACAATTTAAATCCCAGCCTGAAAGAAGGGTGGAAAGAATGTTTCCTTCTTACTCTCTTGGCATTCATGTTCATATTTTCTGGAGTAATGAACTCAATATGCAGGAAGACTCAGATAAACCATTTCCACACCAGCTAGACTAGTTCTTCATCCCATGGGTATAAATAAATATAAGGTAACCATTCCATTAGCACATGATCATACAGAATACAAAAGTTTCATCATATTTTCAGAGCCATTAATAAATAAAAATAGATAGGCAACCCTCCAATGCAACCATTGTGGGACTTGTGTTTTTCTAAATTTTTATTAATATTCTATGATTATAAAGAGTAAGGAGATTGTCTATTAAAGTAGATATTATTCCTGTTTCATAATTAAGGAAACTAAGACTTGAAAAGACTAAGCTGTGTAGATTGGCCGTGGTCACACAGTTTGTAAAGACAAGCACCAAGATGCAAGTTCTGGTCTTTCTGATCACAAAAACCAGATTCTTGGCACCATACCTAGCTACTGAACTACTGAAATAAAAATAATAATTTTGTCATTGGAAAGTAGGCCAATTTTGAAAGTGCTATTAAGAGCACAGCTGCTAAAACAGTCAAAGAAAAATAGTTGCACAAGTAACAGGAGTTTAAGTACTTTATTTCTCTCACAAAACAGGATGACACAAGAGCAGTAGAGTGAGTGATGTTGCAGCTACCATAAATACTTCAAAATATCTAGCTTAGAACAAACTTTTTAACTAAGTCAAATGAAAGTAAAAATAGCCACTTGATGTACGTAAATGTGTAAAACCGAGATTAGTGAAAGGCCTTTCTTGACAGTCACTTTGTCTCAGGTAGTACCTCAGCATCCTTATGGAAAGCCTGGGACAGCTTCTGGAGTTCACCTTCAGTTTGGGCTGCTCGTGCCTTTTCTTTCTCCCAACAGTGCAGCACGTTCTGTAGTTCCATTTTTAAAGTGCTTATTAAAGCGTCTCTGTCTGCACATTTAGTGTGTAAATGACTTAACTCTTTGTTGACATCAGCCAGTTTACCCTGAAGGTCCTGTTGGAGACACACCAAATAAAGGGATTGTAGGAAGGATAGCCAATGGGGAGTCAGGGGTGGGTGGGGGCACAAATATAAAATACATAATAAAGAGTTTTGTAGCTTAAGAATCTTAAAGGAAAGCATTTGTTTATAATGCTAAACATTAAGGTATTTTATTGAACTGAATTTTATAAATATATGTTAGCTCAAATATTAGAAAATTTTATGTTTTAATATTTACATAAATGTTAATAAGATGTCTTATTCTAAAAAGGTCTTTGAAAGAGAATTTTCCTTTGAAACAATTAAAAAAAAAAACTTAAGAGCTCAACATTTTTTAAACATTTAAATAACATTTTTTAAATAAATCACTTACATTAATATAAGAACATCTACTTTCTAATGGCATTCCAAATACTAACAAAAATTTCAATTAAGTAGTAAAAATTTCTGAATTATTTATTCCTTAGGCTTAACAAATTGTATTGAAGTGTACCCATGACAAACTCAACATGAACCAACACAATAAAATTCCAACAATATTGAGCAACTCTGAGAGTTCTCACAGTATAATTTCACAAATATGTAGTATAGAAAACCAGCACAGAAAATAAAATAAACTGTTGTCCTGGAGCTTGGCCAGGTGTGTTCTCAACCCATTACAACGCATGATGAAAACCGACTCCCAGTATTGACGTGCTCATATAAACTATTGCTAAGGTGTATCCAATGCTAGACATTAAATCTGAAATCTGAAATAATTTTTTTTTATTTTATGTATTTTATGGTATTGAAATTATCTAGAAAATAATTTTTTCTTTAACAAAAACACTTCAAGTTTTATTTATAAAAAAATGAAAAACACTGTTATTTGAATCAGTAATTTTAAAAAATTAAAATTGTATTCAAACATATTTAATATAAAAAGAAAATATATTTTCAGATATCTCTACTTAAAAATAGTCCCTAAATAATTATATTTGTTTCTTAATACAAAAGTTATTCTAAATAATAATACCTTTATATGTTTAGTCTGAGACTCTATCTTCTGTTTGGAAGAATCAAGTTCATTAGATATCGTTTCCTTAGCATTGTTCATGCTGGTTAGCTGAAGAGAGAAAATGTAACTTTTTAATAATTTTCAAGGATGGTTGACTCAAAACCTAACCATTAAATGTTTTTCATACAATTACTTAAACACAAATCTTTTAATAATAATTTTTAAAGTCTTTTAAAAATTATTTCTTTAGCTTAACTGCTGTGTAGCTTCTGGCACAAGTTTATATGGCTAAAAAGAAAAGAAAGCATTCAAGCTTAAAATGTCAGTGAGGTTATTGTACTGTTACTAGTTGTCTAGATAAAGGATTTCATTCTTACTATAAACAAATATAACTTTATTCTTAAAATCCTACTGGACCAAAATGCCAGAAGCAGTGGCATCTACAAGGAAAGAAAAAAGGACAGAGCAGAAGACAGTTCTTTCTATACATCATGAGGGTATTCACTGGTCTCTCACTCCATATGACAACTTCAGGGTCAGTCACATGCAGTCCTACTGGGAAGGCTTGTGGCAGGTCATCAGTTGGTCCTGCACCACTTGTGATTTATTCTCTTTGACAGTTCATTCTTCTTTCTGTCAGACTGCTCTTTTTGCTTTCTTTGCAGCCACCCCCTCAGTCTCCCCACTGCTGTCTCTGGCACTGGTTCACAACAAAGCGCATTACTAAGCCAAAGCCTGCTGAGTCGACTTTTCAACTGTGCTGAGGATCATGTGACATTCATCCTCCCAAATAACAATTATCTGTGGGTAATATGTTCCTAGTTACCCTGCAGCTTCCAGACCCAGGCCTCAGAAGAGTTTCATAAACTACTAACAATGTAGGTTGTCTTGTCTCACTGGAAAAGATTTAGCAATATTTGTTCTTCATAGAAATTTAATTATTTCAATGGTCACTTTCTTTTTTGACTTCTGAACAATCACAGAGAGTATTAAAGAAGACTCACTTTCTCTTCCTTGTTCACCTTAGTAAACTAAAGTAAAACATCTCTCTTTTCACATGTGAAATGTCATGTTTTCATGGCCTTTGTATTATATGAAAGAAAGAGATAAACAGAAGGAAAAACACTAAGTCCCATATGGCCTGTCTTTGGTTCAAACAATCTGCTTGCTGTTTCACTAATTGTATTTAATGTAATTTCTTTATATGCTCTAATTTGGCAAGAAGTAACTAAACAAACTTCAATTTTTAAAGAACAAATTCATAAAACATTTTAACATGCAAGAAAATTATTAAATCACACATTAAACAATACAAATGAGATGATAAATAAAAGCATGAGATTTTTCAGTCTGCAAACTAAAAGCTCCCAAGCTACATCAAACAAGTATTTGTTTTTAAAAACTTCCATATTCCCTTTAGAAAATAAAATTTTCTTTTTTAAAGACTGTTTTTATTTTTTATTAAGACTTCCACAATTTTTATAAATCTTAAAACTAAAACAGTAAAAAAAAAAAAAACCTAAATTTCCACAAGCTATTCCAAATGCCATAAAAACACATTAACATTTAAATCCAACTCAATATTTACTTACTGATTTAAATGACTTGCATAGCTTTTTTTAGAATTCAAACTGATAAATTATGAAGACCACATAGTGACATACTCTTTTAACTTTGAAAACAATAGTGTGACTGAAGAGCTACAGAAACATGTGAGACACGACTTAAGGCCACATTTTAAAGAAAGAACAGTGACAGACAATTTATTATTTTTTTGTATCTGTGAAGCTCTCAATTCAATATTCCCAATCTTTTGACCTTTGTAACAAGCAAGGGATACGTACTGCTGAAGGCCGAAGGCTATATGTGTGGAGCCAAACAGTGCAAGTGTTACCTCATTAGATGCATCTTCCAGCTTGTTCTGGTAATCTGTCAAGGTACGCCTCAAAGTCTCAAGGACAACAGAGAAGCTGGGAGGTTTATCTTTGTCCTTGTGGATACCTAGAGAAAAACATACGATGAAAATAAAGCCCTTAAAATCAGAGAGACAGAAGCTAAGCAAACAGTAACAGAAATATTACAATTAAGTAAAAGCTAAAAAGACTTTATGAAACCTTGAATAGAGTTTTAGTCTCCAAAGAATGCTGCTGTCTAGTTTTTCTAAACAAGTGGTCAAATTAAAGTTATAATACATCAAGTTCAAATTTAAAGCTATTTTCTACCTTAAAGAACCCTACGTTGTAGTTAGTAGGTAGTTCTTTTCTTCATATCTACTAAATATCTGAAATGTTTGTATATACCTGTTATCCAACAATTAACCAAGCTAATATGCTACATTGTTTTAGGGATTTACCTACACTTACTTTGGTCCTTGTATTTCTGATTAGTCAGGCCTTTCAATCTTGCTTTAAAAAATAATTTCTGAACCCAAGAACACATAATTTTCTGTTATGCTTGGAACTATTCTTCAATCTTTGAAATTCTCAAGTTACAATTCAAAATAAATCATAAAAAATGCTATCATCTACACAGGCCCACATAATGTTTCAATTAAAACCCTTTAAATTGATACTCAATGTAAAAATATGTGTACTTCCATATCATGCCCTTAAACTATTTTAATTTAGTTTGGCCATAATTTAAGTGAGTTGAGCTAATAAAGGTCACATGGTCAAATATAGTTAAACTATTAATACAAAATAATCAAATGTTTACTTTAAAAAACCACTTTGAATTGATTGTTTATTGTACTGCTCTTCAAATACTAAAAACATAGTAATTTAATTTTTTTACATTCCTATTAACATTTTCCTTCTTCTATAATGATTTCTTGCTGCCATATTTTACAATCTAAGCATCTCAATAAGTAAGAAAGGCATTCTCATCAAACATAATTTTAAAAGGAGCATTTACAAGACATGCTTTATTATTCATTCATTCAACAAATTTAACTGAATTCCTACTATCCACTCATCCCAGGCACTAAGCAAACAGATAAACAAGATTGATATAGTGTCTGTCCTTAAAGAACTTAACAGTCTAATGGAAGAAAAGGTGACACTAAACAAATAATCCCATGGATCATTCATCCATGCTTTAAGTGTTCATTATAGATCTTCTGGGGTATCAGGGGAAGAAAGCACTAATAAAGGGAACAAAAGCAATGAATGGAAAAAACTTCTCAGTTAATGATGGATCAGTGTATTCATCTCAGAATATAGGTAATAATGTTTTACTCTTGGCCTAAATTTATGGCATTTATCAAGATATACTTTAAGCAATGTCTTAAGTAGGAGTAACAAGTTAGATGTTCTTAAACAAAACAGTATTAAAAAAGTACTTAAAAATCAAAAGTAATGTAGAAACACTATGTATCCAACATATAAAAAAAAAACAGTGCTCTGAACCATGATAATGGAGGAGACAGTGGATTTTGTAATAACTATGAGTTGGAAAGACAACTCATTAAAAATTTTATTAAGAGTCTTAGCAAATATATGTTTAAAAAATTGCTCTCTTGCACAAGATAAAAAAAAATGTAATGTGTAATTCTTTTTCCTTTGCTGCTACACAAGGAGGCTATGAATAAATCATTCAAGGACACTCGGGAAATATGCTGGCTTTTACAATAAGGAGAAAACTTCTCTTAGATTCAGAAGAATAAAATCACCTTACTTTGAATGTTGCTAGGGTAAGGGACAAAATACTCTCTCCTTACTGACCTATTCACATTCTTATATTCTACACAAAATAAATTTTCTTGCCTGAAAATATTTATACAATAAATTCAGTTGTAGTACAAAGTATGCTTTATGTCCCATCTACATCTATTATAAAAAGAAATATCTACTAAGCCTTAAACATGACAAAAATGTTTTAAAATAAAAGGGTCACTCCAGACCTGGGACCTCATTGATCGATTTGATTTAACTTAATAATATTCTAATCACTCACTGCACTTTGGCCCAAAAAATAATGATCTATTAAAGCTATCCGCTCAGGGGAAGGTTTAAAAGCTCACAGATAAAGAGCAATAAAAGAGATTTGAATAGTGGTCACAATTCACTTCTCAAAGGTCAAAGCCCATTTGAAGAACAGACCACATCAGGAACACTTTATACTTCCATGACACCACCTCAAAATCTTTGCAGTTCTTCTTGCCCTCTCCCTATACACATGTATCTGTGTGCATGGGGCAGCCTACACAATCATATCACCCCTGTTTGTCTCATTCCTTCTCACTCTTAAGGAGGTATCAACTTAAGGGGTAGCTTGGCAAATCTTTTTTTGAATTAATAGCCTACAGGGGAAGGGAGGTAGGTAGGGTAGAAGAAAAGGTTCCAAGCCCTCTTGTGTATGTTGCCTTGTAGACAATCTCAAAACTACAATGAAACCTGGGATAGCCAAACTCAAAGGGACTGGCTTGTTTTCCTAGGTCTCACAAGTTTTTCATCTTTCTATTGCTCACATTAGTGAAAAGTATTTGAGTTTCCATCTCTGACAGGTTTCCACTGTACACAATTTCGTCTTTTGCAGGTTTTTTCTGTAGTTATTTTTACATGACTCTTGTTTTTCAAACTGGTTGTTTAACCTTTGTAACCTATAGTTCCACAGTGGAAATTGAATTGTAATGACTGAGGTAAGTCTATCTCCTCCACCTTCTCAACCATTCTCTTACCTATTTCAATCTCCCCAAAGGGAGAATAGTTAGCAAATACAGAGAAAGAGCATAAGACAAATGAGTAGGTTATTTTTTAAAATATATCTGTTATAGAACATGAGAAGTAATTATATCCACAAAACAGATAGAAATAAGAAATCACTATTTAATGTTGACTTCTGATCATCTAATAAAAACCAGAAAAAAACATTCCATTGGGTTTTATTTTCACCTGATGAAATCCAAACATTTAATACATGTTACATTAATGACTAAGAAAACTCTATTTTCTTTCTAAAAAGTGGTTAAATACAAACATTTTGTTGGCAGTTATACTTTCCAAGCTCAGACTACATTCTGTACATTAACTTGTCTTATGCACTGAGATCGTAAATAAATATCTTCATTATTGTTCAAATGTTGTTATTGTTATGTGCCGTCGAGTCAAACCCGACTCATAGCGACCCCTCCTTGGGTTTCCGAGGCAGTATCACTACGGAAGTAGGATTGCCCAACCTTCCTTCCGAGGAGTGGCTGGTGGGTTTGAACCGCCAGCCGTCTGGTTAGCAGGCAAGTGTCTTAGCCACTATGCTACCAAAGCTCTACTGGTGCCAATTCTGGAACTTTTAAGGAAAATAGCTCATAACTTTTCTAACATATGTAGAGAATTTATATAAGTCCTGCTCACTCATCCTCTAACTATGTCCCCTGGGAGTGTCCAAAAAACATTCCCTTCAACAAGCCTTGAGAAATACATTGATGAGGGGAGCCCCAACATCCTTATTGAGCTCTGAATGGCTTGATAAGCTCAGCATAGCCAGAAGGCCAAGAATAACAGTGGGAAATGTTGTCATCAAACTGAGGATGATGGGAACTTGAATGGCACAGGCCAAGAGGTGATACTTAAATTCCCAAGACAAAGTGGAAAAATGTAATCTAAAAGAAAAATCAAACCCGTAGGCAAAGTCTTGATCAAGTGTCTAGTTCTACATCATCCATATTTAAATTCATATTTAAATTAAATAAAGAAAATTTCAGTTTCTCAGTCACTCTGGCCACATTTTTTTTTTATTTTTTCTTTTTTTTATTATTAGGATTTGGGTGAAGATTTACAGAGTAAATTCACTTTTCATACAGCAGTTCACATATACTTTGTCTCATGTCAT